TTCTATGGAGTCTTCACTTCCCAGTGGTAGGGTCCCCAGACGCAGGAGATGGAAGGGTGAAGGGTGGCTGGGGCTGGGGCCCCCAGGGCTCCTGGGTTAATCTGATTATTTCCTCTGCAGGCACAGGGGAACTACAGAAGGCTCTGCCGTCTGTGTCTTCACCATGAAGGACGTGCAGAGGGTCTTCAGTGGCCTCTACAAGGAGGTGAACCGTGAGACGCAGCAGTGGTACACCGTGACCCACCCGGTGCCCACACCCCGGCCTGGAGCGGTGGGTACTGGCTCCCTGTACCCAGAAGGGGCGCTAGGAAGATGTGGGTCCCCACACCATGCTGGAACCAAGGCTGCCTAGCCTCGGGCAGATCACTTGGCTTCTCTGAATCTGTTTTCTCGTCTTTAATATGGGACATAGGCCCAGGCCTGCTTTGTCTACTGGGTTAGAGGTAACTATGAATGTTAGAATGTCTGCAGTTCTGTTTCAGGATACAAGTGTGTCCCCATCAGGGCGCTTGCTGGGGGCTGCTACAATCATCTCTTCACTTGGTCCGCTCCCTTACTCAGCTGCAAGCTGCTTATTTAATTATCAAGTGACTGAATGGGCAAGCTGTGGGGAAATAGTGCTTTCTTCCTCCCTTCTAGCCTAATGGGCTACCCTGAAAGCAGACCTTGAGACAAGGATAGATGTGCCAAATAGTTTATTAGGGAGGTGATGCCAGGAAGCAGCATGAAGGAATAAGAAGGTTGAGAGGAGGAGGGAGGGAAACCAAAAGAGGGTGTGTCAGCGAGCCGTTGTTGCTGTGGGCAGCTGGAGCTGGGTCCCGCTGGAGCCCCTGACAGATGGTGTGGAGCACCTCTCAGAATTTCAGGAAGCCCCAGGTGGGGCAGGAAGGAACTGCCGACTGTGCTGGGGCGCTCTGCCCAGCCAGGGCTTCCTGAGAGCACTGGTGAAGGGTGCGGAGGAGCAGGGAGTGTGGTCCTGGTTCTTGAGGCCCCTGGGCATATGAGGCTGGGGTGGTAGGTGGGGAGGAGGCACAGCAAGGAAGCCCTCCAAGCACTCGGTTTCCCCATACCCTGGGCTTTGTCCTTTCTCCCTCAGACGTGCACGCCGGCTCTGTAGAGCACTGCCAGGGATGTACCCTGGCTCCGGGCCGGGGGACAGACACTGCTACTGTCCACTGGGAACCAGGGCCCCCATCCTGCCTGCTGCCCCCAGGTGTGGCTGGCCTCATGCCGCTGCTTTCTCCTCTAGTGCATCACCAACAGTGCCCGGGAAAGGAAGATCAACTCGTCCCTGCAGCTCCCAGACCGTGTGCTGAACTTCCTCAAGGACCACTTCCTGATGGACGGGCAGGTCCGAAGCCGCATGCTGCTGCTGCAGCCCCAGGCTCGCTACCAGCGCGTGGCTGTACACCGCGTCCCTGGCCTGCACCACGCCTACGATGTCCTCTTCCTGGGCACTGGTAAGTGTCTGCAGCCCAGCAGGCTCGGGAAGGGGTGCACGTGACCAGTGGGTCATGGGCGGTGGGGTCCACCCTGGGCCTGAGTCCTGTCCACACCCCAGGTGACGGCCGGCTACACAAGGCGGTGAGCGTGGGCCCCCGGGTGCACATCATTGAGGAGCTGCAGATCTTCTCATCGGGACAGCCTGTGCAGAATCTGCTCCTGGACACCCACAGGGTGAGCAGAATCTGCTCCTGGACATCCTGGCAGGGTGCTTGGGGGGGTGCCCTCCATGAGCACCAAGCAGTCCCCACCCAGCTTCTCCTCCCTTGCCTCAGCAGGATGGAAAGATACAGGATCCAGTCATGAGCTATTAGAAAGTGGGGTCGCCGGTTACATAGCAGGCCTCTTGGGGGTGGCTCTGGGAGGCATACGAGCTGGGTGGCCATGAGCAATGGCCCTGGCTGCCCGTGCCCGCTTCTCATCCCCGTGTCTGGCTGTGCAGGGGCTGCTGTATGCAGCCTCACACTCGGGCGTAGTCCAGGTGCCTGTGGCCAACTGCAGCCTGTACCGGAGCTGTGGGGACTGCCTCCTCGCCCGGGACCCCTACTGTGCTTGGAGCGGCTCCAGCTGCAAGCACGTCAGTCTCTACCAGCCTGAGCTGGTCACCAGGTGAGCATTCCCAAAGGCCCCTTCCCATCTGTCCAGCGCTGCACAGGTGGCTTCAGAGCACCATCCTGGGCCCTCCTCGGGACTGCCACATGGCCTTATTTATGTCCACTGTCTCAGCATAATTATTAATTAGCTCTCCTGCTTCCTCTGAAGTGCAATTCAGACAAGAAGTTATGTGTTTGTCTTGGCTACCTGTGAAATGAGGACATGATTTGGTTATGTATGAAGTACCACAACTTTGAAAAGCCTTGCGGAAAAAATGTGGATTAGCATGTGAACGTGCTTTAGTAATAGTAGGGCTATGAAACAGTCCGTTAACAAACCCAGTAAAAATTGGTTTCAGAATAACCTATTTGGGTCATAAAATGTTCATTTAGAAAATAGGGTTGAACACAAACAAAAACTACCCCTTATCCCACCACCTAGAGAGAATCACAGTGAGATTTTGATATATTATCCTCTCAGATTTTACTACATGTGTGTATGGAAAACAAAAATCCTTTTATTTTGTTTTATTTTATTTTATTTTACTTCATTTCATTTCCTTTTTTTTTTTTTTTTGAGACAGAGTCTTGCTCTGTTGTCCAAACTGGAGTGCAGTGTCGCAATCTCAGTTCACTGCATCCTCTGCCCCTGGGTTCAAGCGATTCTCCAGCCTCAGCCTCCCAAGTAGCTGGGATTACAGGCGCCTGCCACTACACCTGGCTAATTTTTGTATTTTTAGTGGAGGCAGGGTTTCATCATGTTGGCCAGGCTGGTCTCGAGCTCCTGACCTCAAATGATCCACCCACCTTGGGCTCCCAAAGTGCTGGGATTACAGCCATGAGCCACCGTGTCTGGCCAAACATTCATATATTTTATATAACATTGGGAACTCTCCTGTTTGTAGTGTTCTTGCTTCACATATGGATACACCTGGTGTCAGTTTTTACAAAAACCAAGTGAGTTTTGGTGCATATGCCTGGAGGGACACCCCAGAATGTTAATTGTCATGATCACTGGCTGGTAGATGCTGTGATTTTTGTAGTGTTTTCATCTTTCATGCCTGGTTGAGTTATCTGTCTCCTGAGTGTATCCAGAATTACTGTCCTTTATTTTTTATTACACAGATAAATGCATGTGCATTGTTTTTAAGAAAAGATGAGAACACATCAAAAAAATTTTTAATTAAAAAAAAGAAAAAAAGAGAGAGATTTATACATACAGATCGCAGCTGTCCTTCCAATATTTTTCTTAGGGTACATACTATTTTTTATTATTATTTTTTGAGACAGGGTCTCTCTGTGTTGCCCAGGCTGGAGTGTAGTGGTGTGATTACAGCTCACTGCAGCCTTGACCTCCTGGGCTCAAGCGATCCTCCAACCTCAGCCTCCCAAGTAGGTGGAACGACAGGCGTGTGTCACCATGCCTGGCTAATTTTTCTGTTTTTTGTAGAGATGGGGTCTCGCCATGTTGCCCAGGTTGTCTTGAATTCCTGGGCTCAAACGATCTACCAGTCTTGGCCTCCCAAAGTGCTGGGATTACAGGTGTGAGCCACCGTTCCCGGCCACTGAGGTTACATACTGTTTATGTAATTAAGGGAAGTGTTATCTTAGCTTTGACTTGAAATAATGTGTAGACAGAGGAGATGCTGACTCCTGTGGGTGGGGAATCAGCTCAGGAAAGGCCCTTGCCCAGGCCCAAGTCTGCAGTGAGGGGTGAGGGAATGCGGGCTCAGCGGACTTCCTGGCCAATCCCAGAATTCTCTCTGGTCCTCAGGCCATGGATCCAGGACATCGAGGGAGCCAATGCCAAGGACCTTTGCAGCATCTCTTCGGTTGTGTCCCTGTCTTTTGTACCAACAGGTGAGGTGTCCCCTCAAAAGGTAGAGGAGAGAGGTGGGGACAAGTCTTCTTGGAAGGCTCCCCCAGGCACAGATGTTGTAAATGCCTTTCCTCACATCCTCGCCCCCTACCCCTGTAAGCAGGTCCCCAGGAAGACTGAGTCCTGGGGTCCCCAGAGTTGCCCATCATGGCACCAGGGGCATAGCCCAGAGGGAGGCAGGGGAGCTTGGAGCTACTGTGGACACTGGCACCTCCCTACCCCATGCCTTTTCTGCCTGCAGGTGAGAAGCCATGTGAGCAAGTCCAATTCCAGCCCAACACAGTGAACACTTTGGCCTGCCCACTCCTCTCCAACCTGGCGACTCGACTCTGGCTGCACAACGGGGCCCCTATCAATGCCTCGGCTTCCTGCCATGTGCTACCCACTGGGGACCTGCTGCTGGTGGGCACCCAACAGCTGGGAGAGTTCCAGTGCTGGTCGCTAGAGGAGGGCTTCCAGCAGCTGGTAGCCAGCTACTGCCCAGAGGTGGTAGAGGACGGGGTGGCAGACCAAACAGATCAGGGTGGCAGTGTACCCGTCATCATCAGCACATCGCGTGTGAGTGCACCAGCTGGTGGCCAGGCCAGCTGGGGTGCAGACAAGTCCTACTGGAAGGAGTTCCTGGTGATGTGCACACTCTTTGTGCTAGCCGTGCTGTTCCCAGTTTTATTCTTGCTCTACCGGCACCGGAACAGCATGAAAGTCTTCCTGAAGCAGGGGGAATGTGCCAGCGTGCACCCTAAGACCTGCCCTGTGGTGCTGCCCCCCGAGACCCGCCCACTCAACGGCCTAGGCCCCCCTAGCACCCCACTTGATCACCGAGGGTACCAGGCCCTGTCAGACAGCCCCCCGGGGGCCCGAGTCTTCACCGAGTCAGAGAAGAGGCCACTCAGCATCCAAGACAGCTTCGTGGAGGTATCCCCGGTGTGCCCCCGGCCCCGAGTCCGCCTTGGCTCAGAGATCCGTGACTCTGTGGTGTGAGAGCCGACTTCTAGAGGACGCTGCCCTGGCTTCAGGGGCTGTGAATGCTCGGAGAGGGTCAACTGGACCTCTCCTCCGCTCTGCCGTTCGTGGAACACAACCGTGGTGCCCAGCCCTTGGGAGCCTTGGAGCCAGCGGGCCTGCTGCTCTCCAGTCAAGTAGCGAGGCTCCTACTACCCAGACACCCAAACAGTCATGGCCCCAGAGGTCCTGGCCAAATATGGGGGCCTGCCTAGGTTGGTGAAACAGTGCTCCTTATGTAAACTGAGCCCTTTGTTTAAAAAACAATTCAAAATGTGAAACTAGAGAGGAAAGAGACAGCATAGAATGCAGCGCACACGGCCGCTCCAGTTCCCAGGGGCGCTGGGGATGCGTCCAAAGTGGTTGAGACAGAGTCGGAAACCCTCACCAACTGGCCTCTTCACCTTCCGCCTTATCCTGCTGCCACTGGCTGCCCTGTCTCACTGCAGATTCAGAACCAGCTTGGGCTCCGTGCGTTCTGCCTTGCCAGCCGGCCGAGGATGTAGTTGTTGCTGCCATCATCCTACCACCTCAGGGACCAGAGGGCTAGGTTGGCACTGCGGCCCTCACCAGGTCCTGGGCTCGGACCCAACTCCTGGACCTTTCCAGCCTGTATCAGGCTGTGGCCACACGAGAGGACAGCGTGAGCTCAGGAGAGGCTTAGTGACAATGTACGCCTTTCCCTCAGAATTCAAGGAAGAGACTGTTGCCTGCCTTCCTCCATCTTAGCGTGAGAACCCGTGTGTCCCTTCCCACCACATCCACCCTCTCCATTTTTGAACTCAAACACGAGGAACTAACTGTGCCCTAGTCCTCTCCCCAGTCCCCAATTCACCCGCCATCCCTCACCTTCCTCCACTCTTAAGGGATATCAACACTGCCCAGCACAGGGGCCCTGAATTTATGTGGTTTTTGTATGTTTTTTAATAAGATGCACTTTATGTCATTTTTTAATAACGTCTGAAGAATTATTGTTTAATCCTGGCTCTTCCTCTTCAAGGATAGTTGCTTTTTGAGGTTGGTCTAGTTCTCTGAGTTCTGAGGGGTTCTGAACCTTCTCTGTGCAGGGTCCAGTGAGCCACAGTCAGCCTAGCCTGGCCAGCAACATCTCCCTGTGGGGCGGCTCTGAGGTGGGGAACTTAAGCCACTGATAGGCAGAGGCAGGGGGTTCATTGCATTTACCTCAACCCCTTTATTCTGCATCCCCAATTCAGTTTAGCAAGGGTAGGGACACAAGGGTTGGGATGGGATGGGATGGGGGCCCTTTGTTAAAGTTTTTAATTTTTCAAATCGTGCAGTAAAATAGACTTTATTGATGTACGGTTCTTTACATCTTGACACCTGCAGAGACTCATCTAACCACCACCCCAATCAGGATACAGGAGAGCACCACCCCTCCTGCTGCCCCTTCATCCTCACACCCTCCCACGGGGACAGCCAGCACGGGTGTGGCTTGACTTCCCACTGGCCCCTGCTCGATATGCTGCTTATTCCTAGGATGATCGAAGGTTCCTAGAAGAGAAGTCCAGTCCTTCCTCACACCAGTGTATCTCATATCACACACAGGGTCAAACTTCTAAACCTTTATTACTGATTAGTACAAACACAAACGGAGCAATGACAATGGTAGTGAGGAGAGGCCCTGACAAGGAGGGCTACCCCTGCGCGGGGTGAGGCTGCACAGTGCCAGCTCCAGGCTGGGCCAGCGTGGTCCGCGCTGGCAACACAGGCTTGATCTTGGCCACAGCTCAGCAGTAGAAAGGTTCTTGGACAGGGTGCCAGGACACACGCTGGGGCTGCTGTCACAGGACAATCTTAAAGGAGCTGAACAAGAGAAAAGGGGTGGGTTTTCTGCTGGAAGAGGAGGGTAGGGACTAAACCCAAACTTGACCCCCCTTCTCCCTTTAAGACCCTTCTTTGGAACGAACTGTGTCCCGTGTGTCAGCCCACTCTGGAAGAACTCCCTGAGACATCCAGAGGGAGCTTTCTGGAACCACACACAGGGTCAGAGCTTCTAAACCGTTATTACTAATTAGTACAAACACAGAGCAATGACAATGGCAGTGGCAAGGGGAGAGGCCTTGACAAGGAGGGCTGCCCCTGCCTGGGGAGAGACTGCCAGCTTAGCCGGCCCTGTGTGTGTGGACTGGGGCTTTCTCTCACCCTGGCACCACCTCCTGTAGCAATGTCCTAGGCCCAGAGGCAGCAAATCGGGACCTGCAGGTACCCAGAATGCAGGGGCACCACTGTCATACCTGGCAAAGTCTGGAGAACGGGAGATGACGTGCTGGAACTCAGAGAGGTTGATGGTTCCATCCCTGTCAATGTCAGACTCCTCCAGGATCTGGGAAAGGGAGAGTTTCAGGCCAGAGCCCCAACCCCTCCCTCCCACTCCCAGGCCCAGCTGGGGCAGGGCCTGTTCAGCTGCTCACGTTGTCGATGAGCTGCTTCATCTCAGATGCACTAAGCCGTGTGTCCTCGCCCTCTCCCGTGAGGCAGTTCACCAGCCGGCTGAGGTCTTCTCTGTTCAAGGTTCCATCATCATCAAAGTCTAGAGAACAGACACAGGAAGCCAAAAGACACGGTTGGGAGGGGCTCTGAGGTTCCACAAGCACGCCATTTCCCAAGCAGGGCCACCACAAAGCCCATGTGGGAAGGGGTGGTGTCCTGCCGGGCTGCTCCTGGTTCTCACCGAAGATGCGGAAGGCATAATGGGACTTGATGTCCGGCGTGGCTGTGTCACTGAACACACTGAGGAGGTCCAGGAAGTCCTCAAAGCTAAGGCTGTCTCTGGTTGGGGAGGTGGAGAAGACCCTGCAGATTCGCTCCTTGAAGGGGTTGGCCTAGGAAAACAAATGCCACAGGATGTGGCCCAGGTCACACACTCATTAAACCCTACCAGAAACTTGAGAGAGCAGGTCACAGGACTGGCACCAGGGAGCTCAGGCTCATGGGGGTGAACGATCAGTGCTTTGGGGCCAACATGAAGGGCAGTGGGGGCACAGGAAAGCAAACTGACCCAGTTAGGGAAAGGACTGATATGGCTTCCTGGGAGTCAAGTGTTTAACCCAAAGGCAGGTCACATACAACATAAGTGTGGGCAGAGAGGGAAGAAGTCATCCTAAACAAAGGGAACGAGATGGGCTGGTTATTTTAAAACACAAATATTTAATTGAACAACTATTGTGTTACAGGCACTGGGCCAGGCCCTTTGCAGAGATATTTCGCAGCAGCCCCACAGAGTGGCAATCAGCCTCTAGAACAGGGTTCCTCAAACTTTAATAAGGTAACTCAACTCCTCTTAAGGGATAAAACTTCTCTGAACTTCCAAGATTATGTTCTAGAATCCCCATTTGAAAAGCACCATTCTAGATAATTCTGCCAGGTGATTTTGGTCAAGTCCTTGTCCCCAGAAAATTAGAACTAAGTAGAAAAATGACCAGAATGGGGCCCAGTGACCCCATGATCTCAAAGCTAGTGGCAGATGGAGTTAGGGGGTCTAGCAGGGAGGGAGTGGTGGGAGAGGTGTCAAAGAGGGGAAGCGCTTGCACCTTGAGCTCTGGAAGGCTGAGAATCTGCTCGAAGGGCACTTGTGCCAGAAGTGACTGCTCCACGCTCCGCTGCTCCTGGGGAAGCAGCTCACAAAACCGCCTGTGGGCTCTGGTAGAGAGAGAGGAACTGTCGGTGTTCTCAGCGATCGGTTTCCCTGTGTGTTCATTCCCACTCCTTGCCTGCTGCTCATTATCAACCAGGTGAGGAGCTAAAACCACATGCACAGAACTTCCGAGTCATCAGGCAACAGTAAGCAAAAGGACATGTCACAAGGCAGTATAGCCTAGGAGTCTTTTCTTGCAATGAGTATTTACTGAGCATCTACTATGTGCTGGGCACTGATTCTAGAGATCCCTGAGGGATGAAGAGTTGGGGAAAAGGCCAGAAGTTGGCCCTAAAGAACTGGCCAGGCACGGTGGCTCACACCTGTAACCCCAGCACTTTGGGAGTCCAAGGCGGGCGGAGCATTTGAGGTCAGGAGTCTGAGACCAGTCTGAGCAACATGGTGAAACCCCTTCTCTACTAAAAATACAAAAATTAGCTGGGCATGGTGGCAGTTGCCTGTAATCCCAGCTACTCAGGAGGCTGAGGCAGGAGAATCACTTGAACAAAGAGGCAGAGGCTGCAGTGAGCCGAGATCGTGCCCCAGCACTCCAGCCTGGGTGACAGAGCAAGACTCTGTCTCAAAAAAGAGAGAGAGAAAAAAAAACAAAAACAGGGAGAAAAGAGCAAAACCAAAAATCTCATTCTCACCATCACTCCAGGGATCTCTTGCCCTCAAAGCCTCCTTTTTAGCAGCCACCCTGAACTGTCCTCCTCCTCGGCCTCCGCCTCCTTCCCATGAGATTATCTTTGCCGCAGGAAGCCCAGGCACCTCCTCACTCAAAGTGCCCTGGCCTGCATAAAATCTGGCAAAAGGGCTTCCAGCCCAAGTTCAAATCCATTTACTCAGTGTTGTCTTAAGCAGTTATCAAACCTTTCTGAACCTGTTTCATTGTCCAATAATACCTCTCTCCTAAAGATTAAATTAGGTAATGCAGGCAACAATGTAGCACAGTCCCTGGCACATGGTGAGTGCTCAGAAAGCGATAACGGTTACTGTATTATTCAGGTAAAGTTGGGAGAAAGAGCCAGGCTCCCCAAGGCTTCTGTGGTTTAGCCACCGGGCAAGGTTGGCCCCTGCCGGACTGGGGCAGGAAGTTCGGCAGTGCTGAAGCTAGTGGAGCTCAGGGTCAGAGAGCCTAACTTTTCTTGGAGGCTGTGAGGTGGCTCCGCGGTGCCACGCTGGGGCCTCAGGCGAGGGCGGGGAGGGCGTGCCGGGAGAAGGGCGCAGCCCGGGCTGGGTCTCCTGGCCTCCAGCTCCCGGTCCTCTGCAGACCTCAGGCCAGCCCCCGCCCCTCCCTCGGGACGGCGCCCCCGAAGCTGTCTCTAGAGGATCCCGGGGTCGGAGGCGGGGTTCAAGGCAGCACTTACAGGAGGATCTCCTGCTTCGTCAGGAACGTCAAGTCCTGGAAGGCAAAGCGAGAGCTGGCATTAGCGGACCGCTGGGAGGCCGCGGCCGCCCCGCAGCCCGCTCCGGACCCGGCTCCGGGGAACAGGCCCGCACACGAGCTCCCTAGGGCCAGGCGTCCCGCGCACCTGGTACTCGGCCAGCAGCTCCTTGGACAGGCGACTGCCCGAGCCCCCCATCTCCCCGCCGCGCGCACAGCTCCGCCAACTCGCCTCGAGACGCAGACAACTTTCTCACTTCCGCCCTTGGGCCGCGTCACTGCCCGGTCCCCGCGGCAACCGCTCCTGGGGCCACCACCCCCGGGCCCGCCCCGTCCTAAAAGCGCCCAGGCGTTCCCAGCCGGGTTTGGCAGGCGAGCCGCCGGCTCCGACCGGTCCCTGGCGAGCGGGAGGCGGGGCCCGGGGAGGGGCCCGACGCTCCGGGGCGGAGCCCAGGACTCACGGCCCCGCCTCCGGGGTGGGCGGGGGCGGGCCACGCCGCGCGCGTGCGTGCTGGCTGCGTATGCGTCACGGGAGTCGTGACCTCGCTGTGGCCCCGGCAGCGGCTGCAGGGAAAGTCGCGAGGTCCATCCGCTTCGGCTGCAGTAGGTGGTGGGGGCGGCTGCCCTGGGTGCGGTCCCGTAGGAGCGTCTGAGAAGTCACTGGAGCTAGCGTTTCCGGGAAACCTGGAGACTCGCTGAGTGGCCGAGGTCGTCGGCTGCCCCTCTGCCCAGCAAGGGCTTTTCTAGATGTTATCATCAGGCAATCGCTGCACCTGTCGCAGCCCCAAGCCACCTCTTCCAGAAGTAACCATAACCTTGCTTCATTCTTAGGCTATTTACTGAGGACCCACTGGATGTGAAGCATTGTGCATAGTTTTCTTCGATTGTTGCAACATCCTTTGCAAGGTAGGTTCCCATTTTACAAAGATGGAAATACGTAAGTCCAAAGGGTTTTAGTGATTTTTCCGGGCTCAGGCATTTAGAAGGTGATCGGTCCAGTCCAAGGCACCTTTAAAGGCGCTCCACTGCTCTTGTCTTCATTCCAGCTGACCTGCTGTCCTTTTGACCCCATCTCACCCCTAGGCTGCTGACCCGTTTGCTCTTGTCCCCTCTTAACCTCTAGAACAATGTTTGGCACATAGTAGGCTTTCAGTAAATATTATCGAATGTATAATAAATGAATGAACGTATACTACTGCAAAAGGTAAGGATTCCAAACTGCTGGGAGGAGGAAGTGGAGGTTGTTGGTCAGGCTGGGATTAATTCTTGATCCTTCCAATCCATTATACTTGCTGATCTTTGTAAAGTCTAAATCTGAGCATGTTAATCTCAGTTTATAATCATTAAATGGTTAAAAACCCAAATCCTGGCCCTCTGTAACTGGACTTGCTCCTATTGGCTCTCTGTGTTTCAGCCACGTTGGGCCCTCAGTCCCTCTCTCTTCTTATCCTCAGGGAAGCCTTTCCTGACTCCCTAGACTGCCTAGGAATCTACTTTACACTTGAAGAATACCCATTGCTTCTCCTTGGCAGCATGTGTTTAATAAGACCCACTGTATTAATATGTACATTCCATCACTGTAGAAATATTCAAGGCCAGGCGTCGTGGCTCATGCCTGTAATCTCAGCACTTTGGGAGGCTGAAGCAGGCAGATCACTTGAGGCCAGGAGTTCAAGACCAGCATGGCCAACATGGCAATACCCCGTCTCTACTAAAAATAGAAAAATTAACCAGGCGTGGTTGAACCTGGGAGCTGGAGGCTGCAGTGAGTAGAGATTGTGCCACTGCAGTCCAGCCTGGGCAACAGAGTGAGACTCTCTCAAAAAAAAAAAAAAAAAAACCTAGGGTATAGACTCATCCCAAGCTGATCATTTTTCTCTTAATAGCAGACTCTTTCTGTCCAAGAAGGAGTTAGTCTTCTGTTAGTAAAAGCTTAGGCAAAAAGCAGGAAGCTGTCATTATGTCTCCTGTACTAAATAGACCTTGTTTGCCTCTTACAAGCCAAGGCGAAGACCTGGACTGCATGGTAGTAAGTATCTCTCTCTCTCTCTCTCTCTTTTTTTTTTTTGAGACAGAGTTTCACTCTTGTTGCCTAGGCTAGAGTGCAATGGCATGATCTTGGCTCACCGCAACCTCTGCCTCCCAGGTTCAAGAAATTCTCCTGCCTCAGCCTCCTGAATAGCTGGGATTACAGGCATGCGCCACCACACCTGGCTACTTTTGTATTTTTAGTAGAGACGGGGTTTCTCCATGTTGGTCAGGCTGGTCTCAAACTCCTAACCTCAGGTGATCCGCCTGTCTTGGCCTCCCAGAGTGCTGGGATTACAGGCGTGAGCCACTGTGCCTGGCCATAAGTATCTCTTTATAGTGAAGACATGAGAGTCAGCTTTGTGCCTGGTGACTAGCTATGATCTAGATCTCTCAGCCACTTCACTTGACTCTGAATCCTTCATGGAACAACCTTCTGGTTTTCATTTTGCTTCCTGATTCATTTTGTACACTGACCAGCCAGCAAGAACCTTTTGTGCCATTTGGCACATTTCTCATTGTAAATTATTATTATTTTTCAGATAGAGTCTCACTCTCACCAGGCTGGAGTGCAGTGGTATGATCTCGGCTCACAGCAACCTCTGCCTCCCGGATTCAAGCAATTCTCCTGCCTCAGCCTCCCAAGTAGCTGGGATTACAGAAGTGCACCACCCAGCTAATTTTTGTATTTTTTTTTAATAGAGATGGGGTTTCACCATGTTGGCCAGGATGGTCTCGATCTCCTGATCTCGCGATCCGCCTCCCTCAGCCTCCCAAAGTGCTGGGATTACAGGCATGAGCCACTGCACCCGGCCTCTCATGGTAAATTATTAAATGCACAGTCTGAATCATCTGGTAGTCCTTGATGAATCTGGTTAGCGTATTGTCCCTCCTGTACCTGATCAACTCTTGGTACAGTGATAAAACCGAACTGCTGATATACTTCTATTTTTTATTTTATTTATTTTTTTGAGACAGAGTCTCACTGTGTCACCAGGCTGGAGTGCAGTGGTGCGATCTCAGCTCACTGCAACTTCCGCCTCTTGGGTTCAAGCGATTCTCCTGCCTCAGTCTCATGAGTAGCTGAGATTACAGGTGCCCACTACCACACCTGGTTAATTTTTTTGTATTTTTAGTAGAGACGGGGTTTCACCACATTGGCCAGGCTGGTCTTGAACTCCTGACCTCGTAATCCCCCACCTTGGCCTCCCAAAGTGCCGGGATTACAGGCGTGAGCCACCATGCCCGGACTTCATTGTAATTTTCTTTTTTTCCTTTTTTGTTTTTTTTGAGATGGAGTCTCACTCTGTCACCAGGCTGGAATGCAGTGGCACAATCTCAGTTCACCACAACCTCCACCTCCCAGGTTCAAGTGATTCTCCTGCCTCAGCCTGCCAAGTAGCTGGGACTACAGGTGTGCACCCACCACGCCCAGCTAATTTTTGTATTTTTAGTAGAGACAGGGTTTCACCATGTTGGCCAGGATGGTCTCGATATCTTGACCTCGTGATTCACCCACGTCAGCCTCCCAAAGTGCTGGTCTAGGGATTACAGGTGTAAGCCACCGCACCCAGCCCCTCGTTGTGATTTTGATTTGCCTTTCCTTATTAATGATGTTAAACATCCCACATGTGCTTGTTGGTCATCTTTATATCTTATTTGAAAAAAGGACGCCGGGCGCCGGTGGCGACTCAAACCTGAATCTCCAGCACTTAGGAGAGGTGCGCCCCGAGACGGGGGAATCATTGATTCAGAGGAATCTCCAAGACTGATCTGGCTGACACACGATGAAACCCCCTTCTACTAAAAAATACAAAAAACAGCCGGCGAGTCGCGCCAGCCTGTAAGTCCCAGCTACTCGGCAGGCCTGAGGCGACAATGCAGAGTAGAACCCGGGACGGCCGAGTTTGCCAGGTGAAGCCTGAGATTCCGGCCACTGCACTCCAGCCGGCGGCAGAGCGAGACCCGTCTCAAAAAAAAAAAAAAAGAAAAGTGTCTAAATTATACTTTTTTTGTTCTCACATGGTTGTTATTTTAGTATCCCATTGGAATTTCACCTGTCTTAGATAAGAGCTTCTTTAATAATACTTGTAGTAGTCATGCATGGTCCCAGCTGGCTGGGAGCTAAGGTGGCATTAAGATTGCTTGAGCCTGGAGGCAGACATTGCCATTACAAGGGTGAGAATCACAGATACACATTTATCAGTCAATATTATGCTAGCTTCACTTTTTTTTTTTTTTGTCTTTACTCTTTTTTGGCAGCTTCAGCTCGAAAGGATAGCTTCACTCTTAACACCATCTTTTTGGCCGAAGGCCGCTGGGTAGCCACACCTATCAATACCGCAACTTGGAGCGCCGACGTGCGCGTGATCACCCTGAGGCAAGAGTTTGAAGACGCAGCACTGGTGAAACCTAGCTCTTTCCTACAAAATACAAAAATTACTGGGCTGTGCACACACGCTGTAGTCCCAGCTACTCAGGAGGCCGAGGCACTGAAATCACTTTTGAAGCCAGGTGGCCGAGGTTTGCAGGAGGCAAGACAATAGCCAGCGACTGGCAACTACAACAGCTCCGCCTCAGAGCGACAGAAAGAGAACATCTTAAAAAAAAAAAAAAAAATTGACCATCTTAACCATTTCTTGATCTCCTGACCTCGTGATCCGCCCGTCTCAGCCTCCCAAAGTGCTGGGATTACAGGCTTGAGCCACCGCGCCCGGCCTGTAACCATTTCTAAGTGTATAGTAGCGTTAAGCACATTCACGATGTTGTGCAGCAAATCTCCAGAATGCTTTCATCTTGCAAACTAAGCCTCAGTACCCATTAAACTTAGCTTGACTTTTGATATGTAATTTTTTATGTGTTTTCTGTTTCCTTTCTGTTTTATTAACATGAAGTTTCTGGACCAGCAGAGCTGAAGGAACCCAAACTTGGACTGAAGTGACCTTGCTAAGGTATTTTGACATCCTACCTTTTGACATCCTACCTGGGCCAGTGGCAGACCCCTCTCCCTGACAATGCTGGGTCCAGGGCTCCAGGCAGCCAGGGGAAGATGAAGACAGGCACTAATTTCCCCCTTGAAGGGTTGGCCCTGGGCACTTACACACACATTGGTGCCATCCAAACCCAAATGTTTCTATGCATGACCAATTGGAATCACTATGGAACATGGAAAAGCTTTTCCCACAAAAGAAGTTGTCATCTTTGAAACCTTGAGCACTCTCATGCATTGGAACTCAGCTATGATTTTCTGGAGGGCAGTTTGATGGTGTGTATTAAAAACCTAAGCCATGGGAGTTTGAGACCACCTAAACAGCATAGCAAGTCCCTGTCTCTACCAAAAATAAAACAAAACAAAACCAAAACCTGAGCCATGGACCTACTCTGACCCAGTGGTATATCAGGATTTTATTTTAAAGGAAAATAAAAACGTGACGTGTTCAATGATGAGTGTGTGAGTGATAGGATGTTCATTGCCACATTGTGTATAATAGAATGAAACTAGCTACAACCTATATAAACAACAGTTGAAGATTGGTTTAAAAGTCAAGGTCCATCTATGTATGAAAATGAAGCTAGGCCGGGCGCGGTGGCTCAAGCCTGTAATCCCAGCACTTTGGGAGGCCGAGGCGGGTGGATCACGAGGTCAGGAGATCGAGACCACCCTGGCTAACATGGTGAAACCCCGTCTCTACTAAAAATACAAAAAACTAGCCGGGCGTGGTGGCGGGCGCCTGTAGTCCCAGCTACTCGGAGGCTGAGGCAGGAGAATGGCGTGAACTTGCCTTCTCCTGGGAGGCGGAGCTTGCAGTGAGCCGAGATCGCGCCACTGCACTCCAGTCTGGGTGACACAGCGCGAGACTCCGTCTCAAAAAAAAAAAAAAAAAAAAAAAAAAAAAAAGAAAATGAAGCTAAACAAAAATTGTGATTTTTCCTTAGGCATTGTAACAAAGGGTTATAGTTTATCTTTATTTTTTCTCCATTAAAAATTTACTCAATATATGTAATTTTTAGAAAGAAAAAAATAGTTTATATATATGAGACATAAAATGTGTGTGTGTCTGTGTGTGTGTGTGTGTGTGTGTGTGTGTGTATTAGTCTATTCTCACGCTGCTATGAAGAAATACCTGAGACTGGGTAATTTATAAAGGAAAGAGGTTTTATTGACTCATATTCTGCAAGGGTGGACAGGCCTCAGGAAACTTACAGTCATGATAGAAGGGGAAGCAAACACATCCTTCTTCACATGGCAGCAGCAAGGAGACGTGCAGAGCAAAGAGGGAGGTAAAGCCCTTTGTAAAACCATCAGATCTCATGAGAACTCACTGTCATGACAACAGCATGGAGGTGACCGCCCCCATGATTCAATTACTTTCCACTGGGCCCCTCCCATAACAAGTGGGGATTATAGGAACCACAAGGTGAGATTTGGGTGGAGACATAGCCAAACCATATCTATCTATCTATCTATCTATCTATCTATCTATCTATCTATCTATCTATTTTTTGAGACAGAGTTTCGCTCTTACTGTCCAGGCTGGAATGCAATGGCGCAATCTCAGCAGTGCCCGGTGGCACATGCCTGTAGTTCCACATACTTGGGATGCTGAGGTGAAAGAATCCCTTGAGCCTGGGAGGTCAAGGCTTCAGGGAGATGTGTTCGCACCACTGCACTCCTGCCTGGGTGACAGAGTGAGAACCTGTTTCAAAATAAAATAGGCCGTGGCTGGGTGCGGTGGCTCACGCCTGTAATCCCAACACTTTGGGAGGCCGAGGCTGGTGGATCACCTGAGGTCAGAAGTTAAAGACCAGCCAGACCAACATGGTGAAACCCTGTCTGTATCAAAAATACAAAATTAGCTGGCCATGGTGGCAGATTCCTGTAATCCCAGCTACTTGGGAGGCTGAGGCTGGAGAATCGCTTGAACCTGGGAGGTAGAGGTTGCAGTGAGCCAAGATAGCGCCATTGCACTCCAGCCTGGGTGACAGAGTGATAAGTAAATAAATAGGCCAGGCGCGGTGGCTCAGGCCTGTAATCCCAGCACTTTGGGAGGTTGAGAGGGGAGGGTCATCTGAGGTCAGGATTTCAAGACCAGCCTGGCCAGTGTAGTGAAACCCTGCCTCTACTAAAAATACAAAAATTAGCCGGGCCTGGTGGCGGGTACCTGTAATTCCAGCTCCTCGGGAGGCTGAGGCACGAGAATCACTTGAACCCGGGAGGTGGAGGTTACAATGAGCCAAGATCGCGCCACTGCCCTCTAGCCTGGACAGAGTGAGACTCTGTCTCAAAAAAATAAAAAACAAATATCTGGGCATGGTGGCTCTTGCCTATAATCCCAGCACTTCGGGAGGCCAAGGCGAAGGGATCACTCGAGGTCAGAAGTTCAAGACCAGCATGGCCAACATGGTGAAACACCATCTCTACTAAAAATACAAAAATTACCCAGGTGTGGTGGTGCCTGCCTGTAACCCCAGCTGCCCAGGAGGCTGAGGCGGGAGAACCGCTTGAAC